AGCATGGGTCGCTGAGAGACCAGGATCCCCAACAAGAATTACCACAGGGGACAGTCATGCTGTCTCAAATGTCCACAAAGTAATCCCTGAATAAATGTGCCACCACTCACCAGTGGAGTGAAATATCTGGATTTCTCTAGAAATTTCTTTTGCGTATTTTCTCAAAGATACTTCTCCGTTATAGGTAATTGATCGATATTTTGTAAACGATTATCGATATCTATGATCTGTATGGACCGCCAGCCCTAGAAGCCAGCATGCTGAATCCTTTGTCAGGCCATGTTCATTTATCAGAGGGGCGGTCGGGTAGCCTAGTGGTTAAAGCGTTCGCTCGTCACGCCGAAGACCCGGGTTCGAATCTCGACATGGGTACAATGTGTGCAGCCCATTTCTGGTGTCCCCCGCCGTGATATTGCTGGAATATTGCTAAAAGCGGCGTAAAACCAAACTCACTCACTCACTCATTTATCAGAATGTTGTCAACTCTCTATAAGAGATGCCTACTGTACTGGCTGGGTGGCAGGTGGTGAGTACCTCATCCTCCATAATCATATGAAGTAATTCATCAACATTTTCCTTGGTGCTGGATCATCTTCGAGGCTCCCTCATCCCCTCTTGACATCATGTCACCATGAATGGCTGTTGGCTGTTGGAGGCTCAGTTGGAGGCTCAGTTGGAGGCTCAGCTGGAGATAATTGATGACAGCGCGGTGGCCAATTGTTTTCATTTTCATCCACAGACAATGTCTGGTCATTTTGATGCCTGCAGATATGCTGCCAGGTTGTGTTCTTGGTTCAAATGCAGCCTTAAATGCATGCAAGCTCTTAAGGGGGTACCATACAACCTTTATAGCAAGACCAAGATCTATTCAGCTACATTCATTCATTTCAACAGTCGGAGTACAAGGATAAAATCATCAAGGACCATATTATGCCTTCTAAAAGGTTTTCTATCAAGAAACATCATATTTTCTCTACATTTATGTCAACATGTTTTAGGAAATGAATAAGAAGGTGAGTGTACACCTATTTCCGTCAAGTGCTAACGTGCAGCAACACTCCACATATGCAGTGACATCAAGGTATTGCAACGCTAGTTTCATTCATTTATGCCCTAGGCAATATGTGACCAGTTGGAAATGGAAAGTAATTCAGGTTTAGGTTAATACACAACTCCCTATTTATGACAATTTGAACCTTAGACTGATTCCTGCATGTGTTGCTTTAGTTTGGTCCTAGGTTGACTCAACATTGACCAAGGACTCATGATACACAACAGTTAGAGACACACAGTGAAACAAACCTGTTGACATCCTAAACAACATTTCAACCAATCAGATTGCAGAATACACTCCTATACATTTCACAATTCTTAAATGATTACTGAAATTTGTTTTTTAGAAAACTAGTCGCATCATTTTTCCTTTCATATAAACAGCCAAAATTGAAGACAACATGTAAAAAATTATTTTTTTCTCGACCACTGTGCAATAGGTGTGCATAAACAAGCAGTAACTACAATAGGCTATTAACTATCTCCACCTTGGGACGGCACTAGCTGGGGTCACGCCGACATGGAGGGCAGGTCGTTAATAGTCTGCGGTGGTGGTGTCGGGTGATAAAGACCTAATAGCAGTGATGAGGGGGACGTGTGAGTGGGCAAATTGATTCTCAAGCCCGGCTTGGCGCTGTATGCTCATTTCACACATTCTACCAGATTTACGATCATCTTCCATGACAAGTTTCACGTGCAACCCTTCAAAAACTCACTTCAAAACTTCCAGCTGGTTTAACAGCTCGGTGAACACATATTGAAAAAGTAAACCACTGGCTTGGGAGATTTATTGAATTAATCTCTTTATAAAAGCAAAGACATTGGAGGTTTTGATGCCATAATTGACAGATTTAAGTGCTTACTGAAAAACCTCAGGTAGGTTTAGTTTTTATAATAGAACACTGTCAATATAATTTTCTACCCATTTTAAAGATATTCTTTAATATTCTTTTTGCGTCTGTCATCCTTGACAGAGATAACAAGTCTTGTGCTGCAAGATTGTGTGAGTGAGTGGTTTTATCAATATTTCAGCAATATCATGGCAGGGGACACCAGCAACGGGGTTCACACATTGTACCCATGTTGAAAACATACTACTCCAATTTTTGGGGCGGTCGGGTAGCCTAGTGGTTCAAGCGTTCGCTTGTCACACCGAAGACCCAGGTTCGATTCCCGACATGGGAACAATGTGTGAAGCCCATTACTGGTGTCCCCCGCCGTGATATTGCTGGAATATTGTCAAAACACATAATGCCTTTTAGAAAGTGGTCCTGTTATATTTGGGATAACACTTTCTTAGTAAAGTACAGATTCTAGTACTTTTGGGGTTGAGTCCCGTCCGGGATTTGAACCCAGACTGCGATTCATACAGCCGAAAATACACTTGATGAGAGAATTTAAGGGCAATGTTCTAACGGACAAGACATCGAGATAGACATTTAAGTCCCACCACTAAAGAAACATATGCCTGTATCTCATTTATAACATTTTGAACAAAAGTGGCTGAGTCAATATAATATTATTTTTTAGAGGCTGCTGTTGTATCCATATTGAAAATGGGATTCAAACTTCTTGCCACAGTTGAGGTGTTATTCTTTGAAACAAGACTTTACGTATGTGCCAAAAGCTGAAGGTCACACTACGTGTACTACGTAAGCTGAAGGTCACACTACGTGTACTACGTAAGCTGAAGGTCACACTATGTGTACTACGTAAGCTGAAGGTCACACTACGTGTACTACGTAAGCTGAAGGTCACACTACGTGTACTACGTAAGCTGAAGGTCACACTACGTGTACTACGTAAGCTGAAGGTCACACTACGTGTACTACGTAAGCTGAAGGTCACACTACGTGTACTGCGTAAACTGAAGGTCCCACTACGTGTACTACGTAAGCTGAAGGTCACACTACGTGTACTACGTAAGCTGAAGGTCACACTACGTGTACTATGTAAGCTGAAGGTCACACTACGTGTACTACGTAAGCTGAAGGTCACACTACGTGTACTACGTAAACTGAAGGTCACACTACGTGTACTACGTAAGCTGAAGGTCACACTACGTGTACTACGTAAGCTGAAGGTCACACTACGTGTACTACGTAAGCTGAAGGTCACACTACGTGTACTGCGTAAACTGAAGGTCCCACTACGTGTACTACGTAAGCTGAAGGTCACACTACGTGTACTACGTAAGCTGAAGGTCACACTACGTGTACTATGTAAGCTGAAGGTCACACTATGTGTACTACGTAAGCTGAAGGTCACACTATGTGTACTACGTAAGCTGAAGGTCACACTACGTGTACTACATAAGCTGAAGGTCACACTACGTGTACAACGTAAGCTGAAGGTCACACTACGTGTACAACGTAAGCTGAAGGTCACACTACGTGTACTACGTAAGCTGAAGGTCACACTACGTGTACTACGTAAGCTGAAGGTCACACTACGTGTACAACGTAAGCTGAAGGTCACACTATGTGTACTACGTAAGCTGAAGGTCACACTACGTGTACTACGTAAGCTGAAGGTCACACTACGTGTACTACGTAAGCTGAAGGTCACACTACGTGTACAACGTAAGCTGAAGGTCACACTATGTGTACTACGTAAGCTGAAGGTCACACTACGTGTACTACGTAAGCTGAAGGTCACACTACGTGTACTACGTAAGCTGAAGGTCACACTACGTGTACAACGTAAGCTGAAGGTCACACTACGTGTACTACGTAAGCTGAAGGTCACACTACGTGTACTGCGTAAGCTGAAGGTCACACTACGTGTACTGCGTAAGCTGAATACACAGTATGGGTATGGTGCCCACAGACCAACTCAGTCAAATCAGCGGAACTCTGTACAGTGAGAGGCATCGATGGAGTTGCAGATGGAAGAGGGTCCCCCCAGGTAGGATCCTATTCTTGCATGACCCATACCAAGAATCAATTGTTCCACAAATCCTTATTGAGACAAGCATAAGATATTGATGACCCATAATAGACTTCCACTTCAAAGTACAGTGATAGCTAGACGTAAGCCAGAATACCCCAGGAGGACTACCTCTCTGGCAGCATACGTTGCCCAAGCAGTGATTACCTTTCTACAGCTGATCCCTACACAAAACTATCATGTCGCTGACATTTATCCCTCTAACAGGAACAGAGTGAGTGAGTGAGTGAGGTGGGCTTAATGCTGCTTTGAACAGTATTCCAGTTATATCACAGAGTAACAGCTTGATGTGGGAGGAAAGCCTGAAGTCATACAGATCTGAGATGTTCACTTTGGTGAAACCCACAAGCTCCGGTATGGTGCTGACAAACCTAGAAACATAATCGGGGCGAACTTGGAATCCAACACATGACCATAGGTTTCTGGCAGCCCCGAGGGACGACCTCTGCACAATGAATTGTGGCGCCTGAGACGACTGGCCCCTTGTATCACCCCATCAAGTCTAATGCAATAGCCAGTAAAAATTCCCATGTTATGTTATCATAGTAATAATTAATATTATGGCTATATATTATGGCCACTATAATAATAATGATGAATCAAATATTCAAATAACCCTGAATTTAAGAAAATTTAATTATGTTTCTTTTCCCATTTTGTCTGCTATGGGCACTTAGTTTGGACTCCTAGACAAATCCATGGTGTAGAGCTGATATTGTTTTGCTGAACAGGGTCTTCCTCACTTTGCACTTAGGCCAGGAATTCATTGAGCAACCTGCCCTGGTGCTGGGAACATCTAACACTGAAAACACTATGACAATGCTATACTGATGAAAAGCTAAATATGTATTCTTCTCTGATTTTGATGTAAATAATTTGGGGCAAATGTACTGAAAGTTATCGGTTCAGGTTATGAGACCCACACTACACTTTCATAGAGTTTCAGCCAACGGCTATTAGACAATGTACACAATGTACGCCATGTGCTGTGATCTCACCTTCTGGTGTTGATCTTGACGGTGATGGGGCACCTGGTGGGGTCCACAATGTACGTCTGGTCGTCCTCACCCAGCTTGCAGCCATATTTACAATGTATGTACATCTCCCCGATCTGCTCCGACACCGCAATGTTGGACACCATGATGGACAACTTCTGACCGTCCACTGGACAGATCACTGCAGACACAACACAGAAATACTGTACTGTTACAGTGGTATCTCAACACAACTGCAAAACACATACTACGCAAAACAAGTGAAAGAACTCCTGATTTTTTCACATTGATATAGTTAGTCTGTCATGGCATGACAGATCAACTACAGTAATATGAAAGAATCTGGTTTTATTTCACAGTTGGGTGAGGTGAAATGTGGTTTCACATCTTGTTCAAGATTATTGCACTTATACAGCAACGTGAATGCATGTGTGTGTGTGTGCGTGTGTGTGTGCGTGTGCGTGTGCGTGGGTGTCTGCATGTAATAGTCCGGACTGATGCCGATTTATAGTGCTAGCACACTGAGATACCATGCCGCAGTTTAACATGAATACCCCACTCAGACACAGTATACTGACTCCGAGCCGAACAGGCCTTGTTTTAGCCCCTTAATGCCGAGTGCCACACAGGATACAAGAAGTACCATCTTTTAACAATATTGGTATGACGTGGCCGGGATCGAACCCCCGAAATTCCACTACGGGGCAGAAGCTCTATCTACTAGACCACAGAGGCATGGATTTCTTTGACAGATTAACTTCAGTAATATGAAAGAATCTGGGTTTTTTTGACAGATTAACTACAGTAATATGAAAGAATCTGCAGGGTGTTCTTTGACTTCTTTTGAGTAGTATATTTTCACTAAACTTGGAAATAAGTATTAGGATTGCATACAATACACACACTATTCAAATGTGATGAAATAGGTCACTATCCCTGACACATGATGAGTATCATATCCTCACTGCTGAGCATGCTAAGTAGTATCAGTGATCGGGAAATAGTCATACATATTTGCATATTTAGGTAAACTTGGAAACAGAGAGTCCAGTGCCCATTAGCTACCTTAGTACCAAGGTTATAAGCACTCCATGTTTAAAAACAGAACTTCTGGTTTCTGAAACCACATATCCACTGCCCTGTGCAGTACAAATTTGAAACAGCCACCTTAACAACATTATAAGCAATGACCTTGACCTTCAATCTCAGCCATGAACTGCCTAGAGATCATGTACATAAAGTTGCATCAAATTCTACTAATAAATGCTCAAGATACTGTGCACACAATCTTCCTCTGGCATCTACTTCACAATGAGTGACCTTGACCTTCAACATCATCCAATCACGTGCAATAACATTATTTGTTGCAACAATGGTTGCGTTACAAACAAAAAGTAATTTCATGCATTAATGAATGACCTTCAAAGCAACCCTGATATATGACACATTATTGACATGTATATATGATAGGTGTTGAGTTACGGTAGTAACTTTGAATTCGTCTTATGACTACAAAACCTTTGATTTTTCATGAAGTAATCTGAAACTATGTTACATAATTTGATACAATCGAGACCCTGCCTTAGAGGTCACGTAAATCAAGTTTCATCAAATTCAAATCATAAATAGCCTGCTTATCTTGTACACATGTTCCTTAGATGCTGAGTTCATACTAAGTGACCTTGGCCTTCAAGAATATCCAATCACAAGTCAGAAACATTCCCCATGACTATAAATGTGGTATACCAGGTATGAAGTCTCTAACATCTGTCATAAGCGCCTGGATGAGATTACCGATAGTGGTGGTGGCGAAAGACCTCAAATTTGAGTAAACACATAAAGCAGCATAAGACTAAAATAGCAGAAAAAACATTTTTGTGGAAATGGTAAACATACATCACAGTGACACTGACATCACAATTACCCTCCTACTAGGTCTCTCAAAGCCTTGTCCCCATCTGGGCCACAGCCTACGAATGACATACTAAATTCCATTGTCTTACGGATTTAGGTCATAAACGAACATATTTTCCAGGCTAGGACCCTGGCCCTAGACATGCCTAAGAAATTTATAATATCACAATATCCGCAGAAAATGGCATTAGAGAAACATACTTTTCAAATGACCTACAAATGACCTTGACCTTACGATTAGGTCACTCACAACCTTTTCCTTTCTCTGCCCTGCCCTGCACTGCACTATGGAAGACATGTTGCAAGTTTCAGTGCAGGGAATCCTCGAGTAAGGCAGTAACCTAACTTTTCTCAGGTTAAGAGGATGCTTTAGGATGACCATGACCTGATACAGAACATAGCAATGTGTCAAAAGTAGTTCCCAGGGTGCTGTTGTACAAAACAACCTTAGTGCTACAACTGTCGTAAGTCTATGTTACGATCACCTCAGTGCTAAAAATCACTTTGTACAACGGCACCCAGGGCTATGCAGGAGATTTACATGACATGATATCCTTGAGATGTTCCAGAAGCAGCAATGATGGGTGATAAATTCAGAGTATATCAGACAGAACTTTAACACGTTACTATTTACATGGATCTGCTTAATTATCTGGCAGGTTCTGACCTTTTTATTATTTTAAAACTTTGGAACTGTTAACACATTATTGCATGTACCAGTAGTATAACACAAGATTAATGATGAAGATAAATTAATATACCAACCATCTGCACTTCCGTCGATACATTTCCGACAATATGTGTGCTGCAAAAAGAAACATCTCTTAAGAATGATATAAAATATTACAACATTCATACTACTTGGCAAAAATAAACTATTCATATAAACTTCATACTTAAGGTTCTCATGTTGTGAGTGTGTGAGTGAGTGAGTGACTTGGGTTTTATACTCGGTACTGCAGTCACATCACAGCAAAGAGACACCATGAATGGGCTTCACATAGTGTGCTCATGTGGGGAACCCATGTCTTCAGCATAATGCTTTAACCACTGGGCTACCCAGCTACATAGACCACCTGCTCACTACCACATTCAGCAAGCAGTTAGGTGTACAGTGTTTGATATTAAACATGAAAGTCGGGTCCCTTGTTATTACAGATTTAGTGAGTCCCAAGATTCAAATATAATCCAAGTCTGCATGGATCACCATTAATTTCAAACACATAAACTGACAAGGGTAGAAACTGTGGTCAAATCAACTGAGTCCGCAGTTCATTTCAGAATAGCGGTTTGTTTATGTAGTGAATGAGTATGTTGAGTGAGTATGGTTTTACGCCACTTTTAGCAATATTCGCAATATCACGGCAGGGGACACCAGAAATGGGTTTCACACATTGCAACCATGTTGGGAATTGAACCCAGGCCTTTGGAGACCGCCACCGCCCTTAATGTACAATAGATAGATTTTGGTAGAAAACAACTAGTCCCCCTGGATTTTCACTTGTCTTGGACTAACGGACTAGTGGACATATCTGTCACTGACTGAGTGTACAGTACTTCCTCTTTCCCAACAGGGTCAACGTACAAGGCACAAAACACTGGCACAACAGGGTCAACATTCAAGGCACAAGACACTGGCACAAGACACGGACACAACAGGGTCAACATTCAAGGCACAAGACACTGGCACAAGACACGGACACAACAGGGTCAACGTTCAAGGCACAAGACACTGGCACAACAGGGTTAACATTCAAGGCACAAGACACTGGCACAAGACACGGACACAACAGGGTCAACGTTCAAGGCACAAGACACTGGCACAACAGGGTCAACATTCAAGGCACAAGACACTGGCACAACAGGGTTAACATTCAAGGCACAAGACACTGGCACAAGACACGGACACAACAGGGTCAACGTTCAAGGCACAAGACACGGACACAACAGGGTCAACATTCAAGGCACAAGACACGGACACAACAGGGTCAACGTTCAAGGCACAAGACACGGACACAACAGGGTCAACATTCAAGGCACAAGACACGGACACAACAGGGTCAACGTTCAAGGCACAAGACACTGACACAACAGGGATAACGTACAAGGCACAAGACACGGACACAACAGGGTCAACGTACAAGGCACAAGACACGGACACAACAGGGTTAACGTTCAAGGCACAAGACACGGACACAACAGGGTTAACGTTCAAGGCACAAGACACGGACACAACAGGGATAACGTACAAGGCACTAGACACGGACACAACAGGGATAACATACAAGGCACAAGACACAGACACAACAGGGTCAACATACAAGGCACAAGACACGGACACAACAGGGATAACATACAAGGCACAAGACACAGACACAACAGGGTCAACATACAAGGCACAAGACACTGAAACAACAGGGTTAACGTACAAGGCACAAGACACGGACACAACAGGGTTAACATACAAGGCACAAGACACTGACACAACAGGGATAACGTACAAGACACTGACACAACAGGGATAACGTACAAGACACGGACACAACAGGGATAACGTACAAGGCACAAGACATTGACACAACAGGGATAACGTACAAGACACGGACACAACAGGGTTAACATACAAGGCACAAGACATTGACACAACAGGGTTAACATACAAGGCACAAGACACTGACACAACAGGGATAACGTACAAGGCACAATACACAGACACAACAGGGATAGCATACAAGGCACAAGACACTGACACAACAGGGATAACGTACAAGACACTGACACAACAGGGATAACGTACAAGGCACAAGACACGGACACAACAGGGTCAACATACAAGGCACAAGACACTGACACAACAGGGTTAACATACAAGGCACAAGACACTGACACAACTTGTCAACACGTACCCCACATGATGCTATCACAGGATCCTTGAATGCCCGGTTACAGAGGCGACAAAATAACTTCTTGTTTGGTGGGTCAACAAAGACCAGTATCTCCTGAAAATAAACAAAGTCAGGGTTTATAAACAATATCTGGAAATATCACCCTATACAAGCACACAATCGAACAATCACACAATCAAACAATGTAATACAAAGAAGTTGCTATCCATAACAAGTGTCATGAATTCACATTCCACCCAAGAGGAATAATACAGGGATAGAAATTACCCTTACAAGTCCACCCGCCCAAACACTGATAGCGTGCAAGGACACCAGCTTCTACAAAGCTTGCAATTCTACTGGTGCTCAGTATAATTTAACATTCGTCAAATTTGCTGGACACTGATATGAACATAAAACATTAACTAGTAAACCTGAAATTATCCAAGCCCTTGTGATTCTTTAAGCACTTGACCAACTCGGTTCATGGGTAAGTGATCATTTCTATCCCAGTGAGACACAACATTTGTTGACTAAATCAACACTGGATCCCATTACATAAATCTGCAAATGGAGAGCAACAGATAAGTGTACAGCTCATAAGATTCTTTCAAATTACACACTTACACCACTTCCTTCCCAAACCACACCTTGCAATGATCAAACACATCAGATCTTGTCACAACAGTCATAAAAAATTAATTACCATTTACAGCATACATACCCGCATCATCCAGAAATATAACAACAGTGAAATATGAAATAAGCAAATTTAGCTATGTTAGACTCTCAGTAAGTTGAGATCCTAAAATATTTCCTCACTATGAAGTTTCCACTTCAGTACTGAAACCAGGAAATGAGCAGATTGCAAACTACACTTTCAGTATTAAGACGTATATCAAGGCAAATGATTGGTTCAAAAGCACTTTTTTATCTTCAAAATTAATAAAAACAACCCACCTCCTCCTCCTCTTCGTACATCAGTGATCGGTTTGAGACATTCGAACCTGACCTTTTATGTCCTGGACTGGGGACCTGAAGTCCTCCTGGAAGCTGTCGATGGAACATACATCACACTGGTATATCAACTTCCAACTTTCTGAAATACTTTGTGTAAACGGTGAGTTACTTCACTGCTACTGACAGTTTGGTGTGAGAAAATCTATCTTGGAAATCAACAGTCTATACAGCAAATCCACCATCTTGGTGTTTTTTTATAATCTCAAAGTATATTGAAACCATTTTTTCATTTGTTTGTTTGTTGTGTTATGTCACACTCAGCAATATCCCCACTACACAATGGCTTCCTGTCGATAATCAAGTCTGAATCAGACAAACCAGTGATTGATATCATGAGTAACAATCCACACCATTAGGGTATAATGACACACAATCAATGAAGTCACAGACTCGGATCACTGACACCCAAAATAACATATCCGATTCATTGTCATCAGTACATATCCGGATTTATCAAGGAAATAATTCAAAGAAGGGTCAACCATAGGCTAGTCACATTCAAATCTGCATGAAACCTAAGATGTAGAGAAATTTGTAAAATAAACAAGTGCAATAAGAAGCTTATTCAAACTACACCGACGCGAGACTAATAATTACTTACACACTAGAGACCACCTACCCGTACAGGTATACTCAGTCTGGGTTCCTACACTTGCACTTCCACGTCCGTTTAGTCAAGTACAACCTACATACCACATGGTAACCCGGAATACATCCACTGAGACAATGACACCACACATAACTTCCTTATCATCCCACAATCTGCCTCTCGCAGTAGAATACCCACACTGTACATGAACTGTGTGACTGACAATTCTTCCATGTCTGTGACTCTATGCTGAACAGAGCTTTACCTTTCACTTCATCTATTCAGCCAGACACGTTATCATGCAGCTATATCTTACAACACCGGAATGGCCAGGACTAAAAACAGTTTGTTATATTCGTCAGTTCTGTATAAGCGTGTTCATTATAAACATATATTACTGTATACCTTTTAACATCAAGGTAATCATAAGGCATAATTCTCTTTGAAAAGCATTATCAGGAATCACTTGCTTGATAACGGTGTTAGAACCTACACCCAAATGTCGATCCTAATTATAATAAAGAAGTTTTCATCCACATTATTTATCCTTTTTTAATCCCATATCTCAAATCATCAGAATATACCTATGGAATATATCTGATAACAGTATATGGCATACACATGTATCTTATAAAAGGGGAAATCATACGAAGTGTACCTTTTACCATCCGGGTAATCACATGGCATGTGCCTTTTATCATCAGGGTAATCACATGGCATATGCCTTTTACCATCAGGGTAATCACATGGCATATGCCTTTTACCATCAGGGTAATCACATGGCATATATATGCCTTTTACCATCAGGGTAATCACATGGCATGTGCCTTTTACCATCAGGGTAATCACATGGCATATGCCTTTTACCATCAGGGTAATCACATGGCATTTGCCTTTTACCATCAGGGTAATCACACGGCATTTGCCTTTTACCATCTAGGTAATCACACGGCATATGCCTTTTACCATCTAGGTAATCACATGGCATATGCCTTTTACCATCTAGGTAATCACATGGCATATATGCCTTTTACCATCAGGGTAATCACATGGCATATACCTTTTACCATCAGGGTAATCACATGGCATATACCTTTTACCATCAGGGTAATCACATGGCATATGCCTTTACCATCAGGGTAATCACATGGCATATGCCTTTTACCATCAGGGTAATCACATGGCATATGCCTTTTACCATCAGGGTAATCACATGGCATTTGCCTTTTACCATCAGGGTAATCACACGGCATTTGCCTTTTACCATCTAGGTAATCACACGGCATATGCCTTTTACCATCTAGGTAATCACATGGCATATGCCTTTTACCATCTAGGTAATCACATGGCATATATGCCTTTTACCATCAGGGTAATCACATGGCATATACCTTTTACCATCCGGCCAGTCACATGGCATATGCCTTTTATCATCAGGGTAATCACATGGCATATATGCCTTTTACCATCAGGGTAATCACATGGCATGTGCCTTTTACCATCAGGGTAATCACATGGCATATATGCCTTTTACCATTCGGGTAATCACATGGCATATCCTTTTACCATCAGGGTAATCACATGGCATATGCCTTTTACCTTCAGGGTAATCACATGGCATATGCCTTTTACCATCAGGGTAATCACATGGCATAGGCCTTTTATCATCAGGGTAATCACATGGCATATGCCTTTTACCATCTAGGTAATCACATGGCATATATGCCTTTTACCATCAGGGTAATCACATGGCATGTGCCTTTTACCATCAGGGTAATCACATGGCATATATGCCTTTTACCATCTAGGTAATCACATGGCATATATGCCTTTTACCATCAGGGTAATCACATGGCATATGCCTTTTACCATCAGGGTAATCACATGGCATATGCCTTTTACCATCAGGGTAATCACATGGCATATGCCTTTTACCATCTAAGTAATCACATGGCATATATGCCTTTTACCATCAGGGTAATCACATGGCATATGCCTTTTACCGTCAGGGTAATCACATGGCATATGCCTTTACCATCAGGGTAATCACATGGCATATGCCTTTTACCATCAGGGTAATCACATGGCATATGCCTTTTACCATCAGGGTAATCACATGGCATATGCCTTTTACCATCTAGGTAATCACATGGCATATGCCTTTTACCATCCGGGCTGTCTTGAAATCTTTCTTGATTCTGTTCTACTCTGAAGGAACTTATCCACTAATCAAAGTAGTCAACTCAGAAAGTTTACAGGACTAGCAGTTCAAACCTGAGAGCAAATATATAATACTTTCTATATAACAACAAAACTGCAAGACAGATCCAGACAACAATATTTGCCAATAAGGGCTATATGAATAGGGATAAGATAAATGGATGAACAACTTCTTTATAACAATTCATCCATACATCTTACCCTTACTGAGTACTCCAACTTCCAAATGCCTTCAAGTTATCTGCCCTTGTATATCACCCCACATTATCATCTATATTTAGAGTTACCTACCCTAACTCTGACTGCTCTTCTTATGGCAAACTTTTTCAACATTAGAGGATGCATTTTATACAAATAATCCTTTGGATAAAAGGCACATTACAGTTCCTGACATATGTGGTTGTCAAGGTGTTGTCAGGATGCACACTTTTCTTTTTGAAGTTTCCGTGGAAAAACTTCAGTTCAAACAAACTCAACCCAAATGGAAAGAAATATGAGTCTGACAGCTTTCAACATGCATTCAATCTATTTACAAACCACTAAAAGGTTACACAAACGACTGCTCCCAGCATTAGATAAAAGATTCCCATGCATTATCCCAATGATAAATGTAGACTTGGAAAATGGAATGTATACTGGTATGTTTTAGGTCATGAGCGATTTTTTACATTGTTTATAGAAAAATACATAGTAAAATATTGTCTTAGGAATCAAAGCGATTACTGGTAAGTAATTGGTATTGAATAGAACAAGAATTATCAAGAAAATGTTTTTAATATTGAATTGTGTACTAAGAATTCATAATTTGAACTAAGTAAAGGATTACTTACAAAACACTAAATACAAAATATAGAGAAGTCTTTGTTAGGCATTTAGAAGTTGAAATAACATGAAAACATGCCATTTTTTATAGATAGCAACTTCTTTTATTCGTTGTCACGATGTTTCAGAGCTTCTACTTGCTCCTTCATCACGTGAATGCTGATGTTACAGTGCCATAAACATTTTACTTGGGTAAATAAAAGTAATTTGTTGGGGGCGGGCAGTCATGAGTCGAGCAGTCGTGAGTCGGGCGGCAATGATAATCCAGCAATGAAGTTATTATGGACTTATTCAACCATTATGATGAAGTCACGCTGTTGCAGTTGATTCTGAGCTATGAATTCTGTGGCCATTCTGAACATGCAATTTGAAACAAGTAAACCTGCGGCAACTACAGGTCATTATACAAACCTGCAGAGTAATATATACCAACTATAACATGGTTTAAGTTCCAGAAATTATTCAAATCTGTTCATTCTACTTCCGGAATGGACAGATTCTCTTGATATCTCCACTACATAGAGGATTACTTGTTCTATGTTGATTAAAGTTGTATTCAATTTTAATGCTTGTGTAATGAGGTGATTATCATATAATTATCTGATGCAGTACCAAAAATGGTTTCTGTTCAAGTTCTTAATTCAGAAGCAAACTCATGTCATATCATCTTGAATTATAATAAATATAATTTATCCATGGTTGTCAAGTGGCATAGTTATAATTGATATTTGGAAGGTGATATATTCATTCTAACAACCTCACGAAATGAGATAAACAGCATATTTGTCAGCCACTTCTAGGTGTCCTCCCCACATTATACATCCTTACAGCCCCATGACCTGCATCCTTACAGCCCCAAGACCTACATCCTTACAGCCCCATGACCTGCATCCTTACAGCCCCATGACCTACATCCTTACAGCCCCATGACCTACATCCTTACAGCCCCATGACCTGCATCCTTACAGCCCCAAGACCTACATCCTTACAGCCCCATGACCTGCATCCTTACAGCCCCATGACCTACATCCTTACAGCCCCATGACCTGCATCCTTACAGCCCCATGACCTACATCCTTACAGCCCCATGACCTACATCCTTACAGCTCCAAGACCTACATCCTTACAGCCCCATGACCTACATCCTTACAGCCCCATGACCTGCATCCTTACAGCCCCATGACCTACATCCTTACAGCCCAATGACCTACATCCTTACAGCCCCATGACCTACATCCTTACAGCCCAATGACCTACATCCTTACAGCCCCATGACCTACATCCTTACAGCCCCATGACCTACATCCTTACAGCCCCATGACCTACATCCTTACAGCCCCATGACCTGCATCCTTACAGCCCCATGACCTGCATCCTTACAGCCCCAAGACCTACATCCTTACAGCCCCATGACCTGCATCCTTACAGCCCCATGACCTACATCCTTACAGCCCCATGACCTACATCCTTACAGCCCCATGACCTACATCCTTACAGCCCCATGACCTACATCCTTACAGCCCCATGACCTGCATCCTTACAGCCCCAAGACCTACATCCTTACAGCCCAATGACCTACATCCTTACAGCCCCATGACCTACATCCTTACAGCCCAATGACCTACATCCTTACAGCCCAATGACCTACATCCTTACAGCCCAATGACCTGCATCCTTACAGCCCAATGACCTACATCCTTACAGCCCAATGACCTACATCCTTACAGCCCAATGACCTACATCCTTACAGCCCCATGACCTGCATCCTTACAGCCCCAAGACCTACATCCTTACAGCCCCATGACCTACATCCTAACAGCCCCATGACCTACATCCTAACAGCCCCATGACCTACATCCTAACAGCCCCATGACCTACATCCTTACAGCCCCATGACCTACATCCTTACAGCCCCATGACTTACATCCTTACAGCCCCATGACCTACATCCTTACAGCTCCAAGACCTACATCCTAAAAGCCCCATGACCTGCATCCTTACAGCCCCATGACCTACATCCTAACAGCCCCATGACCTGCATCCTTACAGCCCCATGACCTACATCCTAACAGCCCCATGACCTACATCCTTTTATCCCCATGACCTGCATCCTTACAGCCCCATGACCTACATCCTTACAGCCCCTTGACCTGCATCCTTACAGCCCCATGACCTACATCCTTACAGCCCCATGACCTACATCCTAACAGCCCCATGACCTACATCCATTCAGCCCCATGACCTACATCCATTCAGCCCCATGACCTGCATCCTTACAGCCCCATGACCTACATCCTTACAGCCCCATGACCTACATCCTTACAGCCCCATGACCTACATCCTTACAGCCCCATGACCTACATCCTAACAGCCCCATGACCTACATCCATTCAGCCCCATGACCTGCATCCTTACAGCCCAATGACCTACATCCTTACAGCCCCATGACCTACATCCTAACAGCCCCATGACCTACATCCTTACAGCCACATGACCTACATCCTTACAGCCCCATGACCTACATCCTTACAGCCCCAAGACCTACATCCTTACAGCCCCAAGACCTACATCCTAAAAGCCCCATGACCTGCATCCTTACAGCCCCATGACCTACATCCTAACAGCCCCATGACCTGCATCCTTACAGCCCCATGACCTACATCCTTACAGCCCCATGACCTACATCCTAACAGCCCCATGACCTACATCCTTACAGCCCCATGACCTACATCCTTACAGCCCCAAGACCTACATCCTTACAGCCCCAAGACCTACATCATTACAGCCCCATGACCTGCATCCTTACAGCCCCATGACCTGCATCCTTACAGCCCCATGACCTACATCCTTACAGCCCCAAGACCTACATCCTTACAGCCCCAAGACCTACATCCTAACAGCTCCAAGACCTACATCCTAAAAGCCCCATGACCTGCATCCTTACAGCCCCATGACCTACATCCTTACAGCCCCATGACCTACATCCTTACAGCCCCATGACCTACATCCTTACAGCCCCATGACCTACATCCTTACAGCCCCATGACCTACATCCTTACAGCTCCAAGACCTACATCCTTACAGCCCCATGACCTGCATCCTTACAGCCCCATGACCTACATCCTTACAGCCCCATGACCTGCATCCTTACAGCCCCATGACCTACATCCTTACAGCCCCATGACCTACATCCTTACAGCCCCATGACCTGCATCCTTACAGCCCCATGACCTACATCCTTACAGCCCCATGACCTACATCCTTACAGCCCCATGACTTACATCCTTACAGCCCCATGACCTGCATCCTTACAGCCCCATGACCTGCATCCTTACAGCCCCATGACCTACATCCTTACAGCCCCAAGACCTACATCCTTACAGCCCCAAGACCTACATCCTAACAGCTCCAAGACCTACATCCTAAAAGCCCCATGACCTGCATCCTTACAGCCCCATGACCTACATCCTTACAGCCCCATGACCTACATCCTTACAGCCCCATGACCTACATCCTTACAGCCCCATGACCTACATCCTTACAGCTCCAAGACCTACATCCTTACAGCCCCATGACCTGCATCCTTACAGCCCCATGACCTACATCCTTACAGCCCCATGACCTGCATCCTTACAGCCCCATGACCTACATCCTTACAGCCCCATGACCTGCATCCTTACAGCCCCATGACCTACATCCTTACAGCCCCATGACCTACATCCTTACAGCCCCATGACTTACATCCTTACAGCCCCATGACCTGCATCCTTACAGCCCCAAGACCTACATCCTTACAGCCCCAAGACCTGCATCCTAACAGCTCCAAGACCTACATCCTAACAGCTCCAAGACCTACATCCTAAAAGCCCCAAGACCTACATCCTTACAGCCCCAAGACCTGCATCCTAACAGCTCCAAGACCTACATCCTAAAAGCCCCAAGACCTACATCCTTACAGCCCCAAGACCTGCATCCTAACAGCCCCATGACCTACATCCTAACAGCCCCATGACCTACATCCTTACAGCTCCAAGACCTACATCCTAAAAGCCCCATGACCTGCATCCTTACAGCCCCATGACCTACATCCTAACAGCCCCATGACCTGCATCCTTACAGCCCCATGACCTACATCCTTACAGCCCCATGACCTACATCCTAACAGCCCCATGACCTACATCCTTACAGCCCCATGACCTACATCCTTTTATCCCCATGACCTGCATCCTTACAGCCCCATGACCTACATCCTTACAGCCCCTTGACCTGCATCCTTACAGCCCCATGACCTACATCCTTACAGCCCCATGACCTACATCCTTACAGCCCCATGACCTACATCCTTACAGCCCCATGACCTACATCCTTACAGCCCCATGACCTACATCCTAACAGCCCCATGACCTACATCCATTCAGCCCCATGACCTGCATCCTTACAGCCCCATGACCTACATCCTTACAGCCCCATGACCTACATCCTAACAGCCCCATGACCTACATCCTTACAGCCCCATGACCTGCATCCTAACAGCTCCAAGACCTACATCCTAACAGCTCCAAGACCTACATCCTAAAAGCCCCATGACCTACATCCTAACAGCCCCATGACCTACATCCTTACAGCCCCATGACCTACATCCTTACAGCCCCATGACCTGCATCCTTACAGCCCCATGACCTACATCCTTACAGCCCCATGACCTACATCCTTACAGCCCCATGACCTGCATCCTTACAGCCCCATGACCTACATCCTTACAGCCCCATGACCTGCATCCTTACAGCCCCATGACCTACATCCTTACAGCCCCATGACCTACATCCTTACAGCCCCATGACCTACATCCTTACAGCCCCATGACCTACATCCTTACAGCCCCAAGACCTACATCCTTACAGCCCCAAGACCTGCATCCTTACAGCCCCATGACCTACATCCTTACAGCCCCATGACCTACATCCTAACAGCCCCATGACCTACATCCTTACAGCCCCAAGACCTGCATCCTTACAGCCCCATGACCTACATCCTTACAGCCCCATGACCTACATCCTTACAGCCCCATGACCTGCATCCTTACAGCCCCATGACCTACATCCTTACAGCCCCATGACCTACATCCTTACAGCCCCATGACCTGCATCCTTACAGCCCCATGACCTACATCCTTACAGCCCCATGACCTGCATCCTTACAGCCCCATGACCTACATCCTTACAGCCCCTTGACCTACATCCCAACAGGCCCATGACCTCACTTACCCCACTGGACTCGATGCTGTCGGCGTGGGAGAAGGTGGTTGGTGTGGAGTAGTCCACGGACCCGAAGGCGCTGTCATGATCATCATCTGGACAAACGAAATCACCTATCAATGACAACAATTACTGGCACAGGCATTAGTTTACTGACAAAAGGTTTAAGAAACAATCACAGAAAAGCTGTTTTACACCACAGACAGCAATATTCCAGCAATATTGTTACAGTCTCAAAATAATAAAGTCATGGTTGGCGTCTAGTGAACCAGCAGTGTTCCTGTTTACCGGTAATTACCAGGTTTTTTCCCAGTAAAATTAGCTTTGGACCGGTAATTCATGTGACTGCCAGTCCCTGTGGACCAGCAAATAAAGTACCTTATAAATCTTTGTTGTTGAACAAAACATCTGCGATATTCATATAAGTATATTTATTCAACGAAGTCAGCTAGTCTGTTACCATCAGGGTCTACCCTTGTCTATTTATTGTACAAGGCAATAACATTTCGCTATTCTGTCCAACAATCTCAAGAGAGAGGATCTGTTGTCCAATAATCTCAAGAGAGGGGAGCTATTATGTCCAACAATCTCAAGGGAGGGGAGCTTTTATGTCCAATAATCTCAAGGGAGGGGTGCTATTATGTCCAACAATCTCAAGGGAGGGGAGCTTTTATGTCCAATAATCTCAAGGGAGGGGCGCTATTATGTCCAACAATCTCAAGAGAGGGGTGCTATTTTGTCCAATAATCTCAAGGGAGGGGTGCTATTATGTCCAACAATCTCAAGGGAGGGGAGCTTTTATGTCCAACAACCTCAAGGGAGGGGCGCTATTATGTCCAATAATCTCAAGGGAGGGGAGCTTTTATGTCCAACAACCTCAAGAGAGGGGTGCTATTATGTCCAATAATCTCAAGGGAGGGGAGCTTTTATGTCCAACAACCTCAAGAGAGGGGTGCTATTATGTCCAACAATCTCAAGAGAGGGGAGCTTTTATGTCCAACAACCTCAAGGGAGGGGCGCTATTATGTCCAATAATCTCAAGGGAGGGGAGCTATTATGTCCAACAACCTCAAGAGAGGGGTGCTATTATGTCCAACAATCTCAAGAGAGGGGAGCTATTATGTCCAACAATCTCAAGAGAGGGGTGCTATTATGTCCAACAACCTCAAGAGAGGGGTGCTATTATGTCCAACAATCTCAAGAGAGGGGAGCTATTATGTCCAACAATCTCAAGGGAGGGGAGCTTTTATGTCCAATAATCTCAAGGGAGGGGTGCTATTATGTCCAACAATCTCAAGGGAGGGGAGCTTTTATGTCCAATAATCTCAAGGGAGGGGCGCTATTATGTCCAACAATCTCAAGAGAGGGGTGCTATTATGTCCAACAACCTCAAGAGAGGGGTGCTATTATGTCCAACAATCTCAAGAGAGGGGAGCTATTATGTCCAATAATCTCAAGGGAGGGGCGCTATTATGTCCAATAATCTCAAGAGAGGGGCGCTATTAGCTATTATGTCTAGAGGGTATCCAAAGAAAAAGCAAATACAAGCTAATCATGCTCATGAGGACAAGGATGAGTTTTCCTTTTCATCATGATTCACATGTCAAGCTTGTTGACACCAGTCACTAGTCCAAAGAATCTAGGAAAAATTTGTGGTCAGACAAGCTGAGCTCAGCTTAGCGAAAATGAAAGGAGTAAATCTACTGATCATTGTGTGGAAGGCCAAGTTTGGCCAAGACAATTCTTGGCACTGACCAAGGATAGTGACCTCTACCTACTTGTAGAAAGCGATCGAAGCACAAACACATTACTGTAACATGGTCTCACAGTAGCTACAACCATTCTGTACAAATAGAAATAGACTGAAAGCGGAATTTAGTGAGTGAGTGAGTGAGTATGGTTTTACGCCGCTTTTAGCAATATTCCAGCAATATCACGGCGGGGGACACCAGAAATGGGCTTCACACATTGTACCCATGTCGGGAATCGAACCCGGGTCTTCGGCGTGACAAGCGAACAGAAAGTGGAATTTAGATGCATGTATGTAAGCAAATTGCCACAACGACGAGTAACTGAATAGGGTATTTTTCCTATTAAAGAAATAGTTTTAGTGTGATTACCCAGAAATGACTGTTTTTTATATAGTACACATTGAGGAAGTCAAACAGGCTCGTTGTTGTTTTTTCATTTGTTGTTTAAGGCCGCACTCAGCAACTTTCCAGCTATATGACGGCAGACTGTAAATAATCAGGTCTGGACCAGACAATCCAGTGATTGATATCATGAGCATCTATCCACACAATTGGGATACGATGACATGCATCAACCAAGTCAGTGAGCCTGACTACGTGATCCCGTTAGTCGCCTCTTACGACAAGCATAGTCGCCTTTTACAGCAGCATCTTCACGGGTACAAACCTAGGCTCACTGCCTGACAAGCATGCACACCACCAGCTTGTTTACTCTCTAGCCCCGACTGACAACAGGTGTACTTACTGACACGTATCTTCGTTATGGGAGACACAGCATTACCTGCTCCGAATGTTGTTTCAACATACACCTGCAAACAGAGAGACAACACATACAAATAATGATCACAGTTGAAACAACACTTTTTGTTCAGCAAAGATTTACCATGATTACTATTAAGCAAATACTCCTGGTGCAAACGACACGGAAGGCCACAGTACGTTATGGTTGGTTGGTTTGTTGCTTAACGCTGCTCTCAGCAATATTCCAGCCATATGATTGATGGCGGTCTGTAAATAATCGAGTCTGGACCAGGCAATCCAGTGATTAATATCATGAGCATCGAGCCATGCCATTGGGATGATGATGACATGCATTAACCAAGTCAGCGAGCCTGACCCTCCAATCCCGTTAGTCGCCTTTCACGACAAGCATAGTCGCTTTTTACAGCAAGCATGGGTTGCTGAAGACCTATTCTACCCCGAATCTTTACGGGTCCTGTACAGATCTCAATACACCACCATAACAACACAAAAGCCATGAACTGAGATATTGGTCGTTTCAGACAACTGAAAAAATGGCGACAACTGCATCTTCTTTGTTCTTGTTCACCTCCATAGTCTAGAGGTGGAGAGCGGAAGGTCCGGGGTTCGATCCCCGGCCGTGTCATGCCAAAGACATTAAAAGATGGTAGTTGTTGTTACCCTGCCTGGTGCTCTGCATTAAGGGGCTATAAACAAGAACTGGTCGGCTCGGAGTCAGTATACTGTGTCTGGGTGGGGTATTCATGTTAAACTGCAGCATCTCAGTGGGCTACCACTATAATATTGGCAGCAGTCCACACAAACAGCCACTTTCCCACCCACCCATGTCTCTTTGTAAGCACAAAAATCTTGAACACAATGTTAAACCCCATTTCACCTCACCAATACAAAAAGGGAAGCCGAAATGATCACACACAGCTGATTTTAAGCCTATGTCTATCTCTATTTAGATAGGGTTATTCTTTCATTAAGTAAAAGAATGTGTTTTGCATGATGACACAGGTCTGTGTGTAATGTGTATCACGTGTAGAAGGCCACGCATCATAGTGTATCAACTCACCCTGAATTACCACAATGGTTTTGGTCTTATTCATATTCCCCTATAACAGGTGCTTCCAAACAGATGTGTGATACAGCCAATAACAAACAGCCAATCCCCTATAGCGCCTATCCCTACTCTGGTGATATGATCAATTCAGGACACAACTTCATGACAGATAAACAACTACTTCATTTCATTGTCACTCTCAAAAAATGTTCTACATTAATCTAAAGATTCTACATGAAGTTTTCAAGTCTGAACATTTATTTGGGAAGATCAGATATCTTGAGTTATGATTCAATCACACAGTCTGGCTAAAACAATTCTCACACAACCCATGGTGACGGGTCAACTATCAGATATTTTAATAAACACTTTAAGCACAGCAAAAACACATTCTGTAGTGAAGAAATCTCCTTGTCCATTGTCCATGCATGGTGTTACACTGCCACCAGTAAAGCAGACCCCCCCCCACACACACACACACACACATCCCAGGCTAGGCATATCATACATGTGTAATAGGGTAACTTATCTCACCTAGCTTGGCAATGCTTGGGATATAATCACTGGACAATGAACAAATTGATGTGCAGAAATAAACGTTACACAAGCAAGTTTGCATGGCTTGCTCTTCGGATCCATTTTAGCATAAGTCATTTCTCTGTATGTTTGTTTGTTTGTTTGCAATATTCTAGCTATGTGATGGTGGTCTGTAAATAATCTAATCTGGACCAGACAATCCAGTGATTGACATCATGAACATCAAATCTACACAACTGGGATACGATGACAAGCATCAACCGAGTCACCGAGTCTGACCTCCTGATCCTGTTAGTCGCCTCCTACGACAGGCGTGGGTTGCTGAAGATCAATTCTAACCTGATAAGTCATATGTACCAGGGCAAACCAAACTCTAAACTCTGCATCTAGTAGAGCTATTCACAATATGAAGTGATGTTGTTGAGGTTTCAAGCTTTTCACCTCAAAACAATATCTGATTTACTAGCTTCCAAGGCAGTTTGACAAGGTCATTCAAAGACTATCAATAACACTGGATGTGAAATTTGCAGGACAAAAACTCTTACAGGATGATTTCCTCAAGTAAACAAGTCTTGATTCAAATTACTTGGGTACATCTGTACTCTAGAATGGCCTCCAAATACAAAGACATAAAACCTGTGGTGACAACAACCAAAATGAGTTAAAACCGGTACCACTTTGATATAGTTACAGCGAGTTATCTGGACCTGCTCGGAGGCTGATATTCTGCCTCAAATGTTCAACCAATGTCAGTACAAGTTCCCAAATAGAAATTACAAATTCCCCATTTCATGTGGTTATAGTTTCAAGCCTTGAAACCAGCGTTACGGCTTTGTATAAGTTACTTGCATTTCATTGTTAACAGGATCAATAAAGAGGACTGAAAAGGCTTTAGTGCTTAGTTTTACAAAATATAAAATATAAAAAAATTTGACAATATGTTTTTTCCCAGTTTACTTGTTAGGCCATTTAGTTTGGAACCCTAGATAAATCACTGAAGTAATGACAAGCATTTGGGAAGATCAGATATCTTGAGTTATGATTCAATCACACAGTCTGGCTAAAACAATTCTCACACAACCCATGGTGACGGGTCAACTATCAGATATTTCAATAAACACTTTAAGCACAGCAAAAACACATTCTGTAGTGAAGAAATCTCCTTGTCCATTGTCCATGCATGGTGTTACACTGCCACCAGTAAAGCAGACCCCCCCCACACACACACACACACACATCCCAGGCTAGGCATATCATACATGTGTAATAGGGTAACTTATCTCACCTAGCTTGGCAATGCTTGGGATATAATCACTGGACAATGAACAAATTGATGTGCAGAAATAAACGTTACACAAGCAAGTTTGCATGGCTTGCTCTTCGGATCCATTTTAGCATAAGTCATTTCTCTGTATGTTTGTTTGTTTGTTTGCAATATTCTAGCTATGTGATGGTGGTCTGTAAATAATCTAATCTGGACCAGACAATCCAGTGATTGACATCATGAACATCAAATCTACACAATTGGGATACGATGACATGTATCAACCGAGTCACCGAGTCTGACCTCCTGATCCTGTTAGTCGCCTCCTACGACAGGCGTGGGTTGCTGAAGATCAATTCTAACCTGATAAGTCATATGTACCAGTCATAAGTGATAGTGATTGACAAGTGACTTGATGGTCCGTGACTTGAGCCACCTTAGTCAATGTATTTGGTCCAGTTAACAGAGTCCATATGTAACATTGTAATAAGTAAACAAGAAGAGGAAGGACAAGGCTGCAACATAAGACTGGAAAGTGTTTGGTTCCGCCTTGCACAACCCATCCTCACTGGGCCTGGTTGGGATGTCCCTCCAGTGACTGAGGGCACAGGGTGTGATGTAAGGTATATGGCAAACTATTCTTGTAAAATGCCACTGTAAACAGGTTCATAACGAGTTGTTAATTAGCAACTAAGCAGGTACAAAAGCAAGATGAGAAGGTGCTGACGAGCAATACACATACTGTAGGTGTAACACTGCAAATAACACATAACACACGCTGCACTGTGCGCTAATCAATCGACGTTGATTGTTGCCAAGGCCAAATGACCAATAATCCACACAATTATAACAGTACAATTTCAAAGCATGATACATGCATTTACATCAAATCACCACTAATTTAAAAAGACATTATATAAATATATTCCTAACATGAATGATCTATCAGTGTTTTCAGTTAAAAATAATAACTACAAGCAGGGTACAGCGTTATTATGTAATGTAATTATGTCAGAAGTTTGAAACTCTTCATATAATGCACAATGAAAAAAATGTTTTTCATTTTCAATGAAATTACATAATGAACAATTCGACTCAATGGCTTCAATATCATGTGTATGAAAAGACCAGTAGATTCACATTGCTACTTTTAAGGTTCCCTTTGCAATTATGGAACCAGGTCACGTACAAGCAGTCACTGGCTTATTACATGTTACTTATTGCAAAGTTTTCATGACTCAGTGAATTAAGACTTGCATACTTTACCACCAAATTTAATCATTATTGGGGATTTGTTGGAACTGTAAGAAAGAAATTTCCATTCACTCTTAAATGAATCATTTAAATACTTTCAAACTGAATATCAAGTCTTTCAATTGCATTCCGAACTGTATATCATTTTCAGAGGGAGTACCTGTTTAAAGCATGTACATGTTATAACTGACAATGTGTCAGTAACAATGACTTAAGATTAAATACACCTTACAGGATTACCATAAGCTATGATTACAACCTTCAGGCTCATTCAGGCTTCACATCACTTACCTACATATAATGAGGTGACTAAGGGACTGAAATAATCACCGATAATATTTTGATCCTCTACTTTTAGCTGTAATTGTTTGTCTCCTAAGAATTGAAAGCTTGTTTCTTATACAACTAGATGAGTCTATTCATTGCACTTAGCTAAGCCTGCTAGTGGTAAGCATGAACCTTACCATATGCAAGAAACCTGCTGTAACTTGTCAGTAGAAACAAAACCATACTGCATTGTGCAGAAGGAACCCTCATCTACCCTGTTATCTATCTGTGAATAGTGATCGATAGTAGATTGTAAAAGTTACAAAACATGACTTTAAGGCTTCATAAATGAGAGTTTACAAATTTACTGAAAGTTTGAAAAATTGTTGGCGGGAACATGATAACATTTTCATACTTAATTTGCTGATCTAAAGCATTAAGTGTAAGAAATTAAAACTATGTGTGTGCATCTTTTTCATCTCTGATTATTTTCAAGCAAATAACATAAGTATAAAATAATCCATCAAGAATGTTATTTCTACCTCTATCTATTGCTCTCACAGTTTGGGTCCTAGTATTAGATCCAGTTAGAACAAGGTTATATCATCTGAAAATCTTTAACCAGTCATCCTTCATAAGATAAGTGTTCTGTAATGCTACTATCTGAATGGACACAATAATAAACTATCTGAATAGACACAATAATAAACTAAAAAAAGTATTAATTAACAATTACGATGTATAAATTGGATTCACATCTATGTCATTGACAAATACAGATGACATATGATCAGATGTATGTACACGTACAAAAATAGTTAATAAACGAATATTGTGTGTACCTGTAGATCTATCGTGTAACGACATTATCAGCCTCGGGGTGTTGATTGTCATCTTATTTGTTTACATGCTCAGAATTGAATTGTGTTCGTCGATAGATTTACAGAATGGGTATATCAACACACGAGAATGACGCCCAGCTACTGTGGAGAGATGGTGTATATTTGTTAAGAACTGTCAGTGTCACTCTATGTCAAGATACAACTAGACTGAAAAGCGTGACCCATCCCCCAACAACTTCGGCGTGGAACAAGTGACACACTGTCTATTTTTATTCTATTTATGTATTCCTCGATTAAAACACTTACGCTTTGACTATTTTGCGACGATGTTGACTCTAACCTAAGTTCCCTTCCTCTGTTCGGCGTTGCCATGCGAATTAAGGTATCTTTCCCTTGTGTTGATCGGCATGCAGCAAAGTTTCGGAACTTTCATCAACAGCACTTCCGCGATAGGAAGTCTCGTGTGGTTTGGCGATATATTGACACATTTACGGAGGCAATGACATGCCTATGTCCATTGGATAATAATATAGCTATAGGCAAATATTCATCTAGTCACACTTAACTGGATAAATGTATGCAAGTTTGTATACGCATTGTATGCAACGTATGCAGCAAGTACAATATAACTCGTGTATCAACGTTTAATTCCTATTTTTTAATCATTCAGTGCGAGCCTGTTGTTGCCGCCATTAAGCACGTTTTTCCGGCAAGTTGACGGCAAGAAAATGGCTCACTTTGAACCACCACAGATTCAGGACAACCCAACAGGATGGGGTCCTTGTCAGGTCCCCGACCAATTTAAAGATATGCCCTATCAACCGTTTTCAAAGGATGTTCGACTGGGAAAGGTGATCATGTTTATTTGCGACCATATGTTTTAGTCAGTAAACGCCAATATGGGAGGGAATGAGTTCAATTGCTCGGGAATTTGCATGTATGCGAGGATTAATATGTGAGTTGAAGTTGCAGAATCGTTTGTATATGACCGTAATAATGTGTTGGTGTCAATACTTATAAAATAACGAAGTTAAGAAGGCTTACATTGGTAAATGCACTGCAATACAGTCTGTTAAATATAGAAATGAGTAGGTTGCATTGACAGTTGCATTTTTATCAAGGATAGTACAATTATTCTAGTTATCATCAGATTATGTCATATTGTTATTGTATGAACACGTTACATAAGTCACATAGACATAATTATCATGACGTCATTATTCCTTAAGGAAACGTTTAAAATATGGTATGAAATAGGTGACAGATGATTTCACTTTCGGCAATTACACCATATTGTCTATAAACACAACATGCACAATCACAGATATTAGTTTCTACTTTGAATAGTGGTATATTATGCTAACATTGCAGACTGTATTATATGCTGTAAAACGAATGAATAGTTTTTTCAGATAGAATCTGTAGGCGTTGTGACAGGAACTGCCCAAATCATTCATACATTATGTGAACATATGCATGGTATGATGATGAACTTTGACTTGATGCTAAAGAACTTTTGTTTATTGTTATAGGTATCTGACTGGACTGGAGCAACATATCAAGACAAAAGATATCTCGGTAAGACATGATTTGTTAGAGAACCTGTTTGTTTTTTTTGTGTAGGTTTTGAAACACCAGACATAACCATATTTTACCTAACACTTTCTATCTACATGATATATAAAAATAAAATAGAAATAAACATAATAAAGCAATCTTTAGCTCATATTTCGACCTTTCGTATCCTTATGAAATGGAGTATCATTTTCCCCAAAAAATGTTATCTGTCTGACTTACAATAAATTTATGTCAATTTTGCTTCAGGCAAGTACTCTTCAGCATTTGGGGGTGGAAGCCAGTATGCATATTACCACGATGAAGATGAGTCTAGCTACCAGCTGGTGGATACTGCACGTGTGCAGCGACCGATGTACCAGAGAGGACGAAGGCTGTTCCAACAGGTAGTAGATACAAAATATACCTATACTATAAACATGATAAATGTATATTGACATTTCTTTTGGTCAAAGTGTTTTTCAAGGAATTGCAAATAAATGTATATGGTCACTTTCAATGGTATATAATTGTTCCTTGGAGTGCGTCTGGTAATGTTTGAACTTAAAACTTTTAAGTGCTGATTTACTGACATTGATAACCTTGATGAGCTTTATACAAATGTTATAAGCGTTGTATCTCCATAGTGTATCCTGTCAGTACTGTGTAATGATGACCTAACATTAACATGTTTTATATCTAATTCGGATAGAATTCTACCTTCCACAATAGCAAGTATAAACATGCTCCTTTTACATGTTACTTAAATTTGCACATGAATTCTTCAGAGAAATGGTAGAAAACAATACCAAAGTACTCTTGCGTTAGTAGAGTAAGCCCTCGTTAGGTCTTTCCTGTGATTGTGATAAACAACCATTTTGAATATTTTGTTTAGAACAAACAGCGACGGGAACGAGAACGTCGCCAACAGCAGAACCAGGCCAATCTCCAAGTGTTGTCCAAGACCCAGAAGAATAGAGAGCGGTCAGTAGATGTTGTGCCCTTTTTTGTTTAACACTGCACAAAGTAATATTCCAGCAATATGAAAGCGGTCTGTAAATAATCACAGCTGAACCAAACGGTCCAGTGATTGACATGAGTATTGATCCACGCAATTGGGATAGATGACATGCAATATACCAAGTCCCCGAGCCAGTCAAGTTAATCCATTTGGTTGTCTCTTACAACAAGCATAGGTTGCTGGGGACCACTAACCGGATCGGGTGGTCAAGCTGGCTGACTTGATGGATGCATGTCATGATATTTCAGTTGTGTCGATCGATGTTCATGACGTCAGTCACTAGATTGTCTGATCCAGACTGGATTATTTACAGACCACCATCATAGAGCTGGAATGGTGCTGAGTGCAGCATTAAATAACAAACAAAAGGTTGAAAAGTTGGACAGACAGATACTTGAACACTTGGGCAGTGGGTGCTGTCTTGTGGTTTAGGCATGTGCTCATCACACAGACCCAGGTTAGATTCCCCACATTGTTATCGTGTGTTGAACCCAGTCTCAGTGTTGCTCACCATGATATAGTTGGAATATAACAATGAACAGAAACAAACCACACTGACTCACTTAGACAGTTACACAAACTCATGACATTACAAGCAGTTTTGTCTGTCAAAGCCTTGTTCTACAAATCAATCTTAGCTCTAAGACCAAGTTTCATTGACTTTTCATCCTTGTGTCGTTATGCTAAAATCGCTTTGTGTAATTTGAAAGCCAAAGTATTTCTTTGGAGTAGGTATTTTATGACAGATTTGTGATTAGTTACCTTAATGTATGTGGTATGGGTGACCAGCTGTATAACCTGCCATTGTGTTGTCGCTGTGTGAATCCCATTTTTCTAGAAGAGGCATGAAACCCTACCTGTTTACTCATGTTTGACTTTTCCTTCCCTTCAGTGATCGCCAGAGGCTGCTGAAGAAGTGGCAGAAGCAGTTTGGTAAACAGATGCAGGAGAACAGACAGAAGGTAATTCATCATATCCTTTGACTGCTCGATGATAAGATGATAAAACCCACACATGCACACACCCAACCAACATATATAAACAAACATGGGGTATGAAGACAGAAATTTGACCAAAGACTGAGCGTTGATCTCACTGTTGGTTGACAATTTTATGTGAACTGATTGAAACATGTTCTTTGTTAGATGCTTGTATAATTGACTTGTCAAGTCTCTACATGTTGTCTTTTACAGACGCCCCTGAAGCATCGCGACGCGTCAGTCCAGGTGCGAGACGATTGGACAGTAGTGGAGGAGATGGACTTTCCACGACTAACTAAACTCAATCTGCCTCAAATAGATGATAAGAATGATTTGTAAGTTATCCATACATTTCCTTTATTCAAAAGATTTCTTGAAAAATATCTTTTTTTGAAACTTATCCTATCTCATGGTATTCATTTCTCCTTCTTTCGATCCTATGTGGAAACGTGCTTGAACTCAAGTTTCGATTTCTAAAACCAATTCACCCAAACACATTCCAGCATCACCATGGTCACCGCCAAAAACAATGGGTCACCAACTGTAATCCTGTGCATAGCAACCTACACGACCTGATCACCTGACTATCCATGCCACATCATTCTCTTTCTCATCAACACCACGTGAGAGAATGTATGTAGTTATTGTGGGGGAGATCTTCCTCTGCTTTATGTCAACATCTATGGCAGTCTTTGAAGACCAGTTTGAAAACCTGTAGAAAATGCATACATACTTATTCCTTAGCTGATCCACATGATCGTCTGTCAATCTCCCCCCTCCCCCCCCTTTGAGATGATTTAGTATGAAATATGAAGTTCCGTCATATCGCAGACCACAGTCTCCTATACTGAGTAAAGATAGCTTACGCCCTTCTGACAGGGATTGACTTACAGGGGATCGACATTCTGCAGATCTACATCAATCTCAGAAGACTGACAGGATGCAGAATGCCCTGCATCAAGATTGACATTGTACTGATGAAGACTGTCGTTCTTATTCTTCAGATCAATCCTAAATTCTAGTGCGAGATCAATCAATCTCTATAGGCCACTCAGATCACCATCAACGTCAGGATCGATCTTGGTCTTCCAACCCACAACGACATGGCTATCATAATTCGTCTGTGGATCTACGTCTACATGATTATAGCTGGGATCGCTACCCTTCCCTTATGGAACGATACCGTCACATGACCCTCTATATCCTTCGGCATGGTCTGGCTGTCACGCATTGATACCCACCTTATTCAGACTACAGCACTGTATCTGAATACCGTCGCTATATGTCACCCAGGGCCCGACATCAGGACCACATTCGATACACAGATTGACATCGACTTCCATATCCCTCTCCTGGCTGTTTAATGGCTCGATATCAGTGCCAATATTCTAAGGATCGACATAGATACTCATAGCCTTCGGATCGACACTGGGAACGACATCGATACCCTCTGTTTATGGATCGCAAAGGGGAGCCCCTCCTCGGGGTTGGCCCCAACATCAATATCGGATGTCAATGTCAGGAATGTCAGGAATGTCGCCAACTTTCAGAGATTTATTACCTGCCTCTGCTATTGTCAAGCATTTCAAGGCTTTGCATTGACATTTATAGAAGAATCAATGTGATATTGTTGGAATAGTGATTAGTGCAGCGTTAACTCTGGCGTTTTGGAAGGGTTCGGACAGTTTACATTGGTATCACCCTCCCTTACCTACTTCACGGTTTCACCAGACTTTCATCAGCATTCGTTCCAACTGTTCAAGAAGATTGCCAACTTATTAACATTTAAGATGTGGAATATTACCCTGCTCAAGATAGACAATGGTAGGAATGAGGATGGACTGGATTGTGCGCCAAATTGTTCCTCATGCTATCAACATAAATTCGAGGATTTCGTCATTTTCCGACTTACTTACATGCATCAAATTTCATAAAGATTATCTTGCACCAGTCACGTCACACATACTACAGGGAAGTAACTGCCTCTACACCGTTATTCTTCAGAATTCGCAACAACACTTCGTCTATCTACCATACAGTTCCATCTTCCCGAGGCAAGTGAGTTAACTGACTATAAAAGTCCAGTTACCACCCTTGCCGAACTAGGCTGGTATTATGGAGTTACATTTTGGCTGGACTAACAAGTCTATGCATAGTCCAATCAAAATCGTGCACCGAAATCGAAATCCGGTTCGTAAAGTGTCATGCAGATTTCGGTCGACTGCAGGATTTGCAAAGCATGTGCATCGCCAACTCGTCAACAGATATTTTCTAAATCCTTTCATGTTTTAAATCAAGGTGCTCACGTGATTTGATGCACTTAGCGATGTAAGACTCGTTTTATCACAATATAGATCTTGATTATCGATCAGATCGTCTTGACTGGGCGCCACCGTTTTGTTTGAAGCAAATGCAAGTGATACGAGAGGTTGAATCTGATTGGTCAATAGGAGAGGCATTGAAAGGACATAACTTGTAATAGCCACTGGTTGCGCTACGATCGAGCCCAGGAATTCTGGGACTTCGCTGGGACTTCATTGCAAAGAATCAACTTCCGGGACAGCCAGCAATTGCACCCTATCTGCCATCATAGAGGGTTGCTTTTGGAAGTCAGATACAGTCTTTGCTTTCCACTATCAACGTGACATCTCAGTCACCGACGTTCAGGGCCTCCACCAGTTCAGTCCCTTGGTCTGAGCACGGTTGACAGCTGCCCATCAGCACAGATTGACGATACCGTACCTGCTCCTGCAGCCCAGTACTCCGTATCCTGCAGCCCAGATTAGGATTACAGTGCGTGACCCATTGTTTTGGGTGGTGACCATGGTGATTAGTGGTGGGACGATACACCGATGCAACAGTGGATCATGTTTTTTTACTTCTCGATACAAGTATAGATCACGGTCGCACACAAAGTTGAAAGTATCACTTCTTACCTTAAATCTATTCTTTAATGAGTGTTACACCAAACACTAATTACAAGTGAAAATGAGTAGTGAAAACGTACATATTTTCATCCATTGCGCCATACTTGACACTGCCAACAGTAAATAGTTAGTGTGCCAGGTATTTGGCCATCCTGTCAATGAAAAAGATGGCTTACACACCACAGATAAGAGCACATACAAGTATCGTGATACAAACGGGATCGTGAGCAAGGTATCGTGATATGTATCGAATCGCACAGTTGGTGTATCGTCCCAGCCATTATGGTAATGCGTGCATGTGTTCAGGTGAATTGTTTTTAGAAGCTGGAAATGTTTGTGCAAGCACCTTTCCACATAGGATCGAAAGAAGGAGAATAGTGTGAGATGAGATCAGTATTATAAATATACAATTTAATGTATCATGTACAGTATTTCATAACAAGTTAAGGGATTAGGGGAAACCTTATGATTTAAGCCTCCACATGGTACAGTGAACATGTAAACTCTAACATCATGATTGACTGCAGTAATCAGTCTTCAGCAACCCATGCTAGTAAGAGGCCACTAACATGATCAGGACCCTTGAAGATCCAGGATAGAATAGGTCTTCAGCAACCAATGCTTGCCGTCAAAGGCGACTATGCTTGTTGTAAGAGGCGTCTTAACGGGATTAGGTGGTTAGGCTCGCTGACTTGGTTGACATATGTCATCGTATCCCAATTGTGTGGATTATTCTCATGATATCAATCACTGGATTGTCTGGTCCAGATTCCATTATCTACAGACTGCCATCATATAGCTGGCATACATTGATCAATAATGCATATCATCGTTTCCCAATTGAGTAGATTAATGCTCATGATGTCACTCACTTGATTGTCTGGTCAAGACTTGATTTTTTACAGACTGCCTCGTATAGCTGGAATATTGCTGAGTGCAGTGTTAAACAACAAACAAACAAGAAAGTAATCACTAGGTAGAGTTATTAATGGTGTATTTCTCTGCTAGAGTGAAGTGTGGAGGCATGGAGTACTATGACAAGACGTACGACCGAGTGACCACGAAGAACGAGAAGAGGCTGAAGAGGATCAATCGTATTTTCCACAAAGTGACAACCACCGACGATCCCATCATCAGACAGGTATGATTCTGTGAACTCCTAGGCTAGTGGTTGGTGGGAAGTAGGGAAGCCTAGTGGTTAAAGCACTCCACCTGGAATATTGTGGAATAGAGTGCGTCATTAAACAACAAACATGTAAAACAATTCTGATTCTTTCTGTTTTAATGTCAGTACAAGATATACAATGTAGCATTAAGCCAACAATTATTGACAATGTATCAGCTGATTACATTACCCTTAAACTGCGGGGGACACGGGTGGCCCAGTCTATGGCGCCGCGATTCGCTGTGCAGAATTGCGTCCCTTGGGCACCCAAGAAACCTATGATTGTGGGTTCGAATCCCGGTTCGCCCCTATTATGTTTCTAGGTTTGTCAGCACCATCTCATGCTCCGGGGTTTCACCGAAGCGGTAAACGTCTGAGACCTGCATCACTATGGGCTTTCCCCCCACATTAAGCTTACAAGCCGCGATATAACTTGAATACTGTTAAAAGTGGCGTTAAACCCAACTCACTCGCCTAAAACTGCTGAAGTTTGTTTGCATTGTGACCTGTCTATTCCAGCTTGCTAAGACACAAGGCAATGTGTTTGCTACAGACGCCATCCTGGCAACACTCATGTGCTGCACCCGGTCTGTGTACTCCTGGGATATCATCGTGCAACGGGTGGGGAACAAGCTGTTTTTTGACAAGCGAGATGACTCTGAGTTTGACTTGTTAACTGTGAGTGAGACTGCGACAGAGCCTCCCCAGGACGAAGGAAACAGCATCAACTCCCCACGCAACCTGGCTCTCGAAGCTACCTTCATCAACCATAACTTCTCACAACAAGTTTTAAAAATGGCAAGTCAATATCTTGACATGATAGCATGTCCACGTACCCCAACGACATGGCTCATTGATGACAGTATCGATCACTGGACCAGACTTGATTGTTTCACCATCACATAGCTGGAATATTGCTGAGAGCAGCATGATGTTACAAACAAAACAAAAACTTACACTACCACTTACCTTGTTTAGGAATGAAACGTTCCAAATGTCAAAGACTTAATATTGGCACAGTGATTGAGGGGCGGTCAGGTAGCCTAGTGGTTAAGCGTTCTCGTCACGCCAAAGACCCAGGTTCGATTCCTGACATGGGTACAATGTGTAAAGCCCATTTCTGGTATCCCCCACTGTGATATTGCTGGAATATTGCTGAAAGCGGCATAAAACCATACTCACTCACTCACTCACTCACTCACTTTAAGTGATTGTAATCCTAATTCTCGTCCTGGAAGAATTCCACTGGCTTTATACCATGCACACTACTGAAGTTGGTGAGGTTTGGCACCATGGCTGCTATAAGACTGCCCTGTTTTTGGAGATCATACATATATACATCATGCAATGTCCTGTCCTTTTCTTACGTTGTGTTTTTACAACTGTTGCAATCGCTCTGTCATCATGCTTATGGAAATTACAACGCGAAAGAAGATGTACCAAAACTTTCAATTTCTAAATATTTGTTATATTTTGATTAGACGTGTAAAAGTAGTTGGTAAAGTTTTCTACCCTGTAACCATGGTAACTGTCCTGATTATTAACTGATAAGTCATTCAATCTCCCCAGCAATATGGCCACAGTTAACTTATCTGAGATTAACAAGCTGTAAGGACTAGTAACGTTTCTCTCAAAATGTATTTATACTGTGTGACACTTTGTGGCCAGGTTGAATTCACTCCAGGCGTCTACCTCTAATGATGCTTGTCTTGACTTGTAGGGAGAAGAAAAATACAACTTCGAAAAGAAGAATCCATTTATCCAAGGTGAAGACGACAGTGAAGTGGCGTCTGTTGGGTACAGGTATGTTAGCTGGGCCTGCTTCATAGACAAGTCTTCATGTTGTATGATGCTATGGCTAAAAAGAGTAAACATTGTAACAGGTTAAAATCCCATGCATTATTTATTCTTTTGATGTAGAAAAACATACCTTGTCCAGTTGCCTTAAATAAGAATTCTTATGTATTCAGATTTTCAAATATTGATGTTGAAATATGTACTTCCAATTAGGTTTATTCACCATGGTGAATAGCTGACAAATAGTTACCGCATCATACATCAATACGCATGAAAAGGGGCACAATTCGCTGTGAAGAGTTGTGTCCCTTAGGCATGCCAGGATCTGTTGCTAATGGGTTTGAATCCTGTTTGTGACTTCATTGTGGATTTTCTTCCTATGTTAGATTACACTGGGATTACTGAGTGTTCAAACCAGAATTAAATACTATCTCAAATGTAAGGTTACGTATAAATTTAACAAATGTTGCTGTCTGCTTTGATATTAAAATATTTTCTACATTAAAAATCTAATGATTCATGAAACGTTGTACTTACCCCCAACCTCCACCCCACCCCCACACGACAGTAACAAAATGAAATCAAGGATTTACCTAGACCTACTCACAGGACGATATTCGGTCCCAAGTTTGCAGCAAATGTCAGTAAAGAATCGCAGACTACAAAAATTCCCAATTCAGGTGATTCTAGTGAAATAATCATCATAATGTTGTAGGGGTGATTTGTATTTGCACTGAATGACAAGACCAATAGATAGAATGAGGCTTTTATCTTTAGTTTTATGTTATTGCATTGAAAATAAGAACTTTAAACAAATTCCATTTTGAACAAATATTTACAAAATAACAAGGTTTATTGCTAATTTGGCTGCCAAAGGCATTTAGTTGGGATCCTACATAAATCCCTGAGAGAATAATGGAAAGTCATGTCTCTAGCCATTTGATACCTTTTCTTCTTCAGGTACAGGAAATGGGATTTAGGGAATGATATTACGTTGATAGCACGGTGTGAGCATGACGCCATCATGTATGGACCGAATGGAGAGCTTCAGTACATCAATGTGAAGTCCCTGAACGAGTGGGACGCCAGAGTGAGTACCCAGTATTGATCCTAGCAGTTAGGTGTCAGTTCGGACATTGTACTCTCCTGTCACAAGGATGTACAGTGTTCCCTTGCTATTGCGCCCTTCAATATAGCACTAACTCGGTATTAGCGCACGGTAAAGCATGGCTCCCCAAATTTACTTGCATTTTCAATAAACTTCCAATGACGCGATGTTTTCCCCCATCTCAGAAAACATTATCAGTTGATCACCGCAATCACGTAAAACCCGGAACTACCCGTCAACAAATCCGAACTGAAGAATGCAATTTGATCCTGTTATTATAATATCTGGTAATAAAAAAAATGTTCATTGTTTATCTGGACTAATGTTTGCAATATATATTTTTAATTATCCCCCGCTCAACAAAGTTGGCGGGGGATATAGAAACAGGCTCCATCCATACATCCGTCCGTCACGTTTCGTTTCCGGAGCATAACTCAAAAACCGTTCAATATTTTTTCATTAAACTTTGCAGGTCTGTCAAGTACATGCTGAACTGGTGCCTCTTGCTATTTAGAAATTTTAGAAATTTTTATTTTTTATGTTTCCATGGCAACAGGATGGACTTAGGTTCCAAACTTACATCCAGGGATTAAGATTACCTTGTGTATTTACATCCAGGGATTAAGATTACCTTGTGTATTTTCTCGTAAACTAAGCTGGAAACAGCAATCACCTGTACACACGTTTTCTTGGAATCTACTGGTGATTTGGTCAAGACAAACCCATTGATATAACTTTACAGGATTTTAATGCAAGGATCAGCAAAAATTGTATCTGAAACTATTTTTTTTATCAGGAATGATATATTCCAATGTCTTGTTAATTTAGTTGCATCTTTTACTAAATATATTTGAAATAAATATAACCCTAAGCGAAGCAGCTGATCGCGACTGCCAGCTTTTATTTTTTACATGGAACCAGTTTGACCAGTCACCATCGAGGCTCCCGCGCATGTGATTGCGAGAACTATGCGTTGACATAGAATCGTCAAACTATAACAAATATGAATTTTAACAAGTATGGCATTTATGATATATGTATCCATTCTCTGTCAACTAAAGTTCGTTTCAAGGCGTCATAAGCGGGAATCTGACCGTGGTTACTGTTAATAACGGTGAGTTGTGCAATCTTCCGATCGCTTCACACATGATTTCGCCGAAATCCAGTGCTTGATATCACGAGCATCGATCTATGCAATGGGGATACGATGACATGCGTCAACCAAGTCAGCGAGCCTGACCAACCAATCCCGTTAGTTGCCTCTTACGACAAGCATGGGTTGCTGAAGACCAATTCTAACCCGGAATCTTCACGGGACTTGAAATTTGTGGACAACTGTTCCATTCTCATTGACTCACACATCTGTATTTCAGTATTCTGGCGGTGTGGATTGCCCTTCTCATTGACTCACACATCTGTATTTCAGTATTCTGGCGGTGTGGATTGCCCTTCTCATTGACTCACACACCTGTATTTCAGTATTCTGGCGGTGTGGATTGCCCTTCTCATTGACTCACACACCTGTATTTCAGTATTCTGGCGGTGTGGATTGCCCTTCTCATTGACTCACACACCTGTATTTCAGTATTCTGGCGGTGTGGATTGCCCTTCTCATTGACTCACACACCTGTATTTCAGTATTCTGGCGGTGTGGATTGCCCTTCTCATTGACTCACACACCTGTATTTCAGTATTCTGGCGGTGTGGATTGCCCTTCTCATTGACTCACACACCTGTATTTTTAGTATTCTGGCGGTGTGGATTGCCCTTCTCATTGACTCACACACCTGTATTTCAGTATTCTGGCGGTGTGGATTGCCCTTCTCATTGACTCACACACCTGTATTTCAGTATTCTGGCGGTGTGGATTGCCCTTCTCATTGACTCACACACCTGTATTTCAGTATTCTGGCGGTGTGGATTGCCCTTCTCATTGACTCACACACCTGTATTTTTAGTATTCTGGCGGTGTGGATTGCCCTTCTCATTGACTCACACACCTGTATTTCAGTATTCTGGCGGTGTGGATTGCCCTTCTCATTCACTCACACACCTGTATTTCAGTATTCTGGCGGTGTGGATTGCCCTTCTCATTGACTCACACACCTGTATTTCAGTATTCTGGCGGTGTGGATTGCCCTTCTCATTGACTCACACACCTGTATTTCAGTATTCTGGCGGTGTGGATTGCCCTTCTCATTGACTCACACACCTGTATTTTTAGTATTCTGGCGGTGTGGATTGCCCTTCTCATTGACTCACAAACCTGTATTTCAGTATTCTGGCGGTGTGGATTGCCCTTCTCATTGACTCACACACCTGTATTTCAGTATTCTGGCGGTGTGGATTGCCCTTCTCATTGACTCACACACCTGTATTTCAGTATTCTGGCGGTGTCGATTGGCGGAGCAGGCTGGACAACCAGCGGGGTGCTGTGTTGGCCACAGAGCTCAAAAACAACAGCTGTAAGCTGGCAAAATGGACAGTCTCGGCCCTCCTGGCAGGGTCAGACCAGCTTAAGTTTGGGTGAGTTACTCGTACAGCCATTTTGTGTGTCTGACCTGGTTGTCTCAAACTAGATTAGGGGTAGCTTAGTGGTTAAAGTGTTCACTTTACATGCCAAAGCCCGGGTTCGTTTCCCAACATCAGTGCAATATGTAAAGCCTATTTCCGGTGTCCCCTCTGTGATATGGCCGGAATATTGCTAACAGCGACATAACACTATATTCACTCACTCATTCACTCACTCAGTCAGTCACTCACTCACTCACTCACTCACTCACTCGAGGCTGTCGGGTAGCCTAGTGGTTAAAGCGTTCGCTCGTCCAGCCGAAGACCCGGGTTCTATTCCCGACATGATGGGTACAATGTGTGAAGCCCATTTAAGGTGTCCCCAGCCGTGATATCGCTGGAATATTGCTAAAAGCAACATTAAACCTCACTCACTCACTCACTCACTCACTCACTCACTCACTCACTCACTCACTCACTCACCTCACTCACCTCACTCACTCACCTCACTCACTCACTCACTCACTCACTCACTCACTCACTCAAAGTACTTCCTCATTGTCATGTATACAGTGCCAGCCTCCTGGATATTGGGCGACGATGGTTTGTCCCCATTCTACAATGGAATGGTTAGTTGTGAACCTTTTTACCATGTTAGCAACAGCAATTTGTGGTGTGGCATTGATCTTTTGTTTTGAGTATGTAATGGTTATGAAGGAATAGTAGTTCCACATACATACAGCTGTATCTATTTCCCAAGTGGCATATTTATCTTCATGTTTCCTGTAAAGAACAATCACACTGAAATCAAATCTTATTTCTAGCTGCCGCTAAACGAAGATCTGAGGACGGGTCACATCAGAACAAACTTTCAACCAATCATAACTTCTCTTACCAGATCGGGAAAGTGACTGTCAGAAAGTGTTTTCTAATCATGCAACCTGGAAAAGGTTAACATGGGTTATTCTGAATGACAGTTACAGCTGTAGGACTGAATCCGTCAAAATCATCATCTCTCTCTTGCTGGAATGGGATAAATATTTTAACGAAAGAGACTTTGCCAAGCCCGTCGGAAGTACTGCCTTAAATCTAGGCCATCTATTTCACATTCCAGAATGTTGTTTTCTTCAGGTTTCAAATTTTGAGTTGATATTTTTCTAGTGTAGTCTGGAATGGGATTCACCACTTTGAAACTAGTGCAGTAAAGCTTGAGAATGCTGTTTTCTGATTGGCCAGTGTTGACTTATTGTAAATCGTTTCATTGGTTGGTCAAAGTTCACGACGTGACCTGTAATGGAATGTCCTCAGATCTTTGTTTAGCGGTAGTGAGAATGAAGATTTGATTTTATTGAGGTTGTGCAAAGAATGTATTGCCAAGCATACCCAGATGCGGTTGCCAGGGAGAAACCTGTGGCATAACATACCTATCTTTTCCTTTCAGGTATGTATCGAGACTTCAGTTGAAAGATTCAGCCAAACATGTTCTTCTGGGAACCCAGCAATTCAAGCCTATTGAGTTTGCTAGCCAGATCAACCTGAATATGGATAACGCCTGGGGGATCCTGCGCTGCATCATTGACACCTGCATGAAGCTGAAGGAGGGCAAGTACCTCATCATGAAGGACCCCAACAAGGTTGGTTTGTTTGTTTGTTTGTTTGTTGGTTTAACGCTACACCCAGCAATATTCCAGCTATATGACGGCGGTCTGTAAATAATTGAGTCTGGACCAGACAATCCAGTGATTGACATCATGGGCATCGATCCACGCAATTGGGATACAATGACATGCAACAACCAAGTCAGCGAGTCTGACCACTGAGTCCCGTTAGTTGCATCTTACAACAAGGTCAGTGAGGGGGACGGTGGCTACTGCTGCCACCATTGTGTCTTGCAATAAGCATTTTTTTTTTTTTTTTTTTTAATGCCACACTCGGCAATATTCCAGCTATATGATGGTTGTCTGTAAAATATTGAGTCTGGACCAGACAATCCTATGACTGATATCATGAGCATCTATCCATGCTATTGGGACTACAAAAAAATTAAATGTGAAAACTAAAATGAAAAGCAGATGGGTTTTTTCATTACACCAAACAGAAATACCATTACATTATATGTTTAAAAAAACAATCATTTTCTCTTTGCTATTAGTATAAATAATTGTTTATAATCATGATATTGAGTGAAATGTAAAAATGTCTGACCTCATGATGGCTTAATGGTTTGAAAACCATCATTGAAAATTCATAAGTTACAGAGTTATGGCCCTTGTAATTCTTGAGGTGGCTGCAGGGATCGTGGCTTTGTTTTGATTGATTCTGGCACAGAGTGTCTGACGTTACTTCTTCAACACATATAACTTGTATCTTTTTGACACCACTGAGCAGTTTGTTCTTTTTGTATAGGTTGAGATAAATTTATTTTGCCCTTAAGTCATAAGTCTGTGATGAGGTATTGAGTAAAGACAATGATCGGGCTAAAATCACTGTGTGACAGGCCACTGCTTTCTCTGGTCATATTGGTAATCAGACTACTACCCTACAAGCCAAATCACAACTTGACTGAAAAAGTTTGGTACATCAGTTCGGATTGTGAGAAACGTATTTGTGAAGTGTAAGTAGTTTATCAGCTTGTAAGACCCTGTAATTGGATTGTGAAGTGTGACAATCCATGATGTGTTTGCTGCTTCTGATCAATTGTAATTTAACACAACGCATCAGAATTGAGGAGGTAAGCTCCTTTGTGCAAAGTGTCAGCTTAAGTAAGCAGTATTTTTTGTCAGTGTACTTCAGAACTTGTCAGGCTCAAATTAATCAGTAAAAACCTTTCATACATGTCCTTCAGTGATTGAATTCTGTGAGTATGCTGTGTGAATCTAGACAGACGTTTGGATTAACATGAATTAAAAATGAAATACTTTTAAGAACCCAAAGTTCATTTCAAAGTGTAATGCACGATTTTGGTTTTATTGTGTTTAATTCCTACAATCATTCTGATGATGTTTGACAGCTCCATGGTAATCCTTTTACCAAAGACGTAGATGTGTAAAAGATATATCAGCCTTGGGTTTTCCTCCCACAGTGAACGGACATTATGTGATGATACTTAAAAATCAATTACAGCCGCTTTAAACCAGTCTCACTCACTTTCACTTTGCCAGCATCTTTGGCTGAACAACAGGGGGACAGATAATGGGAGACAACCCTGAGATCACTATTCCGATTTTAATGCATCCTTTTGAGTGTTTGACTTTGACCCAAATGGTCTGGGATGTTGCTGCTTATAACCACCATGACACGATTGTTTCCAGGTTTCCAGGAATAAAGCGGGAATAATGCAGACTTGTGTAAAATAACCAGCAATACTATTTTGGATTTTTTCTTTCAGCCTGTGATTCGAATCTATGATATACCAGACAACACTTTTGAATCTGATGAAGATGATGATGATGATTCGTCTGATGATGAAGAAGAGAGTGAATCTGATGGTAAGACTCCTCCCCCCACACACAAAACTGTAAATGGGAATTATTAGTTTGTGATCAAGTTGAGTTTTTTGTAGCAATGTGTTAGCCATGTTCATACAGTTAGACCTGATTGTATGCAGTTAGACCTGATTGTATGCAGTTAGACCTGATTGTATGCAGCTAGACCTGATTGTATGCAGCTAGACCTGATTGTATGCAGTTAGACCTGATTGTATGCAGTTAGACCTGATTGTATGCAGTTAGACCTGATTGTATGCAGCGAGTGTGTGAATGCTCCTTGCTTCGTCCATTTTTGCATTTTCTTAACTTTTCACCTGGCAACAAGCTTTGTTTTATCTAGTTCATGTATTGCCAAAAGCTATTAATGTTAAAGGCTTTGGACTATAGGTGTAAAAAGTATTTTGGAAAAATTGATCTTGATCTATCTGTTTTAATCAAAGTTGTGTTAGTTTTGTGTCATAAGTTCGTTTATTTTTTCCAGAAACTGTGGACAAATGAGCTGCAGTCAAGTGCTATGCTGATCTACAATGCCTGCCATCTTGGGCGTCTTGTTGACCTTGCTGGGTCTTGTTTGGGATATTTAAGTATGCTAGGAGAAAGGACGTGGACATCTTTACAGTTTGAAGACAACTTAAATCCAAAACCTATGCCATCACCTTGTACATTATGTTTGGATTGTCTGAGAATGAATGCTGAACTAGTGATTGTGGTCTGTTGCAATATTTGTTATTGCTATGGTCATATAGCCAAGTTATGGTAATATTTATACAATTATAAGAAATTGTTTTGAAAAATTGAAAAGCAACGTTGTCACATACTTAAGAAACTAGTTGCAAGATAAGTTTGTTATGATCGTGTTAGTGTATATTTCCTCTTGTTAACTCTGCCCACCATACTACACAGTCTGGGACGTGGGCCGTTATCTCTTGTAAAGGTAATGGCAACATGCAATGTATTGAAAATGTTATCGTAAACTGGAAATCAAATTCAAACTACAATTCTTTATTTTTTGTGTCTTTTATTATGGAATACACATCTTGTAGGTCTTTTAGGTTTGGGGGAAATATTAAGAAAATGAATAAATGAAATATGTCTTAAAGAAATAAACTATTTGAAAATTTTGCTCTGACTTTTTCTCATTTCATTGGCACTAAACACTTTGTTTTGTTTGTTGTTTAACGCCACACTCAGAATTATTTCAGCTATGTGACTGCTGTCTGTAAATAATCGAGTCTGGCAATTGTGATACGATGACATGCATCAACCAAATCAGCGAGCCTGACCACCTGATCCCGTTAGTCGCCTTTTACGGCATGCATGGGTTGCTGAAGACCTATTCTACCCCATCTTCCCAAGGCAAGAGAGTTAACTGACTATAAAAGTCCAGTTTCCACCCTTGCCAAACTAGGCTGGAATTCCTGGGCTCGATTGTAGCGCCACCAGTGGCTATTACGAGTTATGACCCTTCTATGGCTCTCCTATGGACCAATCAGATTCAACCTCTTGTATCACTTGCATTTGCTTCAAACAAGATGGCGGTGCCCAGTCGAGACGATCTGATCGATAATTAAGATCTATATTGTGATAAAACGGGTCTTACATCGCGAAGTGCATCAAATCACGTGAGCACCTTGATTAAAAACATGAAAAGATTTGGAAAATATCTGTTGACGAGTTGGCAGTGCACATGCTTTGCAAATCCTGCAACAGACCGAAATCTGCATTACAGTTTAAGAACCGGATTTCGATTTGGTTGCCAGCACAGTGGAGATTCAAGTTAGAGTGTGTAAGGAGGATGGAGTAACAAGTGCTTATGCCTGATTGGAGCTGCAAACCCTTGGATCAGATTGGAGCTGCAATCCCTTAGATCTGTTTTCAGTTGGAAGGATCTGATTGGAGCTGCAATCCCTTCGATCTGTTTTCAGTTTGAAGGATCTGATTGGAGCTGCAATCCCTTCGATCTGTTTTCAGTTGGAAGGATCTGATTGGAGCTGCAATCCCTTCGATCTGTTTTCAGTTGGAAGGATCTGATTGGAGCTGCAATCCCTTAGATCTGTTTTCAGTTGGAAGGATTTGATTGGAGCTGCAATCCCTTAGATCTGTTTTCAGTTGGAAGGATCTGATTGGAGCTGCAATCCCTTAGATCTGTTTTCAGTTGGAAGGATCTGATTGGAGCTGCAATCCCTTCGATCTGTTTTCAGTTGGAAGGATCTGATTGGAGCTGCAATCCCTTAGATCTGTTTTCAGTTGGAAGGATTTGATTGGAGCTGCAATCCCTTAGATCTGTTTTCAGTTGGAAGGATCTGATTGGCGCTGCAATCCCTTAGATCTGTTTTCAGTTGGAAGGATCTGATTGGAGCTGCAAACCCTTAGATCAGTTTTCAGTTGGAAGGATCTGATTTGAGCTGCAATCCCTTAGATCTGTTTTCAGTTGGAAGGATCTGATTGGAGCTGCAATCCCTTAGATCTGTTTTCAGTTGGAAGGATCTGATTGGAGCTGCAAACCCTTAGATCTGTTTTCAGTTGGAAGCCCAGGATCTTATTCTGTCTACCCATCCTATTCTGAGCCAGAACCTTAAAACAATTATTTTTTCCTAATATAACTTGCCATATGCATTGTCATCAGCTTAACCTTCTGCCTTTTGCTATTTTTTGATTTGTCAAAAAAATTAAAAGAATTTATGTTTCCATGAAAACAATTTCGACTTAGTCTCAAACGAAGGTTTTGCCCATTTCCGGGCCATAACTTGAGAACTCTCAACGTTTTTCAACGAAATGTGGCATATGCATTGCTCATTTCACAGCATGTGTGTTACAGACAGGACATGGTATGAGGACAAGGCCCATTCTGTACCCACCAGAACTGATATTTTTGGAAAGGAATAAGGCTTTCTAATCAAAGCTAAAATCCGGGATTGAATGTGGCACACAAGCTAATATTCTACAAGGAGATGTAAGTAAAGACATTACAAATATGTGACACTAACAAACGCAATCATCTCCAGCCACAATTTGTTGAACAAGGAAAACCTGTCATTTTCAAGCAGTGGGCCATTCCTGAATATTTGGGCATGTTACAGCATGTTGCAAGTAATGAATTGAAAAGTCAGTCATATTAACAATTGCAATAAATACATAAAACTTCCTCAACTTAGTAATAAGCCCTTTGTTTATTGGGAAGTGATGTCTCAATGTATACGGAGGTTGGTCGCCAGTCGCCTGTAAAGAGGTAATAATGTGTATTTAATAATGAAATTGTAACAAATAGGTCTAGTGATATTGAATCTTCAGCACACAAGAGTAACGTTATTCGTATTTATTTTCAAGCTATTATGGATTACAAAAGAGAATTCCGATCCATTCCACAACACAACATTATGTGATTGGTTACAGCGGGTCCATCTATTTACAGTCATCAAAGGTTACCCCAGAGATAGCTGTGAAGCGAATAGCATAACATGCTGGGTTTCGAGGATGGGGCGCCAAACCACATTACTACATGCTTGCCTGAAAAGAAGAGGACACCATTAACCCCATACGTTCAATGTCAGTGTCTGTTTGTTTGCTGCAGACCCAATCTGTAGGTATTTAACCTGACAAGTCTTTCATCCTCACGTATATACATACCCACGGTCGACCTAACCGCGGTTTGATTCATACAGACGCGTGGACCTCGCCGAGATAAACAGGGATTTGAGACGCCTCCGTGGTGCAGTGGATAGACCTGTAGGTCGGTGAACGGTTCTTTCCCCACCGCCTCATTCCAAAATACGTTAAAAGATGGTACTTGTTGTTACGCTGTTTAGAGGATATTTCAAGAACGAAAGCACGCGCGCACGCACGCACGTACGTCATCAAACCCCATTTCACCTCACCCGTAGAGATTCCAGGTTAGAACTGGCCCGCAGCAACCTACGCTTCCCCTAAGAAGCCACTTAATGGATCGGTTAGTCAGGCTCGTTCCAGACTTAATTATTTAAAGGTTGGCGTCAGATTGCTGAGTGCATCTTTCAACAACAAAAAATAAACCACTAAGATAGTTATGGTGGCCGACAGCGGACGTCGCTTTCTCGCCTTAACTTTACTCGCCGCGATAACACGAGACGAGAAAGCGATAGCACGAGATAGTGCGAGAAAGCTCTGGATCTATAGTGATACATTTCTATAATTTTCACCGTTAATTTGCCTGTTATAACCTAGAATTTTTCAACATTTTGTAGTTCATATATTTGTAAGATATAGGTACAGAATGCTATCTCGTGTCGTTGGTTGGTTTTATTGTCACAATTCAATGGAATTAGCGTTTTACCTACTCACAAGATTTGAAAATGAAATAAATAAACATTATTTTTATCAATGTTTCCACTGAGAATTAGAATAACAGTTATATAAAACAAAATGCACTGGATTTCCTTCAAAATGGTATCTTTGACTTCTGCTAAGGTAAGTGGTCCGGGATTTTTCATCTATTGAGAAATCGATACGATTATGGCCATTTTGTGACATTGTTGTCGAAGATGAATACCATTTCATGTTTATTTGCCCTATATACGAAAATCTAAGAAACAAGTACTTACCGCAGTGGTCTTTATCTCATTTTAATGCTATAAGATTGTCTTCATTACTGTCTTGCAAGGATCTTATAACACAACATCAACTGGCTTTGTACATACATAATGCTTTTTTGTTACCAAGTGAATTGTTACCTTGACGTATTTTATAAAATATGCTATGTAACTCCGTTGTATATGGGCCTGTGGCCTTTCATGCATAAAGAATTGAATTGAATTGAAACAAAATGTTTGCCAAATTCAGATGACCGAACACATTACCTGTAATCAAAGACATAATTTGGATAGTTTAATGACTTAATAAAAATGTTACAGCCAGTTTTGTCAAATTATGCATTTTTCTTTCAATTTATGCAATTTCGACCCCCTGAAAATTCACGCACACACTTGCAAGCTTACTATCCAATGAAAATTGTGTACAGATACCCCCTTTATGCAATAGAAAACGTTTAAGGTATACAGGAAAATGTGGGAACGAAAATCTTGTTTTTCACCCCTGGCCAACTGACTAATACATGCATGTAATTGCTTTCTTAACTGAAGTGAATTAGCTAGATTTACATACACTACAAGAACAAAGACTTCTACTTCACTCCGCAAAACCACACCTTTTAGCGAAACCTGATTGCCTTTTTCATCGGTGTTACTAATTTTATGCCAAACACCCAAATTAAATTCAATGCTAATATGCTGGTAAACTAGAATCCCAACTTTCTGTTGTCTAGCCGGCGCCATTTTAATTAGCGGTCAGTGGTTCGCAGTGTGTCTGGGGTAATTATTTAATCTTCGATTGGGTTATATATCCAGCTCTGGTGAATGTACTACTTGTTATGTAACAAACACCTGGCAGCGCAGCAGGAGAGGACTTACCAGTAGAGTTGCCAAAAAGCATCATCAAAGGATTAACCCATAATTCATTGAATGAATAATTGCACAGTAGATTTGTCAGAAGTAAGTGTTTATATATGTAGGTTTACTAAGACAGACGGAATACACTCATATATGGGCGTGAAGTGCTGACTTAAAAACAACATACTTTGTTCAAGGATTAGCCGATAATGCATTGGTCGATTGCTCATTGCCATCCAACTCTGTGAATTTTTTTTAAGAATCATGAACATAGTTGTCACGTGTGCTATCTCGGCTGACCAATAAGAGTTGACACCTATGTGACACACCTGAAACAAACCTACGTGGTCTGTTGAGAAACGAACATTGGTCAATATATCCCGAAACGCTATATATAAATATATCTCTCTTAAAATATTGTTACAAAGACACGTGACATCGGACAGTTTCTTTGTACAGCTTCAGATGTATGACCCCCAAAGCTCATGAATCATCGAGTGAGTGGGTGAGTTGGGTTTAACGCCGCTTTTAACAGTAAACCAGTTATATCACAGGATGTCAGCTTAATGAGGGGGGACGTCTCAGACGTTTACCACTTCGGTGAAACCATCGAGCACGGGTATGGTGCTGACAAACCTAGAAACATAATCGGGGCGAACTGGGATTCAAACCCACAATCATAGGTTTCTTGCGTGCCCAAG